GTGGACTGGTACAGTGGCAGCAGCAATGAGCTCAGGTGAACAATGGTTGTGAGTTTGGTCTAGGACTGGGCAGTGTTTCATTTTGTTGTGCACAGTCACTATGAGTCGATATCAACCTGATGACACCTAACAACAACAACAACAACATACACGGAGAAAAGACTGACGTTGTCAAAGACTTCCACTTTGCTCAGATCAACCATCAATACTCAGGGAACCAACCGTCAAGAAATCAAATGACATACTGCATTAGAAAATCTGTCTCACAAGACTGCTTTAAAATATTCAAGAGCAGGGATGTCAGTTTGAGGACTAAGGTGCAACTGGCTCAAGCATGGTATTTTCAGTAACCTCACATGTATGTGAAAATTGGACAGAAAATAAAGAAGACAGTAGAAAAATCAGTGCATTTGAGTTACAGAGCTGGAGGAGAAGATTACAAAGTACCATGGACTGCCGAAAGAACAAACCAATCTATGTTAGAAGAAGTACAGCTAGAATGCTCCTTAGAAGTCTGGATAGCCAGACTTCGTCTCTCATGCTTCAGACATGTTTTCAGGAGGGACCAGTTCCTGGATAAAGACATCATGATTGGTCAAGTGGAAGTCAATGAAAAAGAAGGAGACCCAACGAAATGGACTGGCACAGTGGCTACAGCAGCAGACTCAAGCATAACAATGGGATTGGTGCAGGACTGGGCAGTGTTTTGTTCTGTTGTGTAGTCAATATTGGTTCAATGGCAACTAACAGCAATAATATATGCACACACACATACATGTATGCATTCACACACACACTCACATACATATATCTCTCCTTACCACAATAAATAATTATGAGATTTTATACTATAAAAAACTCTTATTTCTAGCAAAGAGAAATGGAGTAAGTACTTATTATGCCTTCTGGAGAATCAATCTTATTAACTTATAAAATGATCAACTGAAAGAAATTATATGTGTCTGGACTTAATAACAAGTATCTTAACTTTTGACACAAGCAATGATGCATACACACAGAAATATGGGCTCTGAAGGCACAGACAGTTGCTTTCAAAGTCCAGCCAAATGACCCTGCTTAACTTCTCTGGGTCTCCATAAAAGGGAATCATTCCCACCTACTCTTCAAGTTAGATAATATGTGAGAAGGCCTAGCTTACTGCCAGACACAAGCAATTGCTCAACACGTGGATATTTCCAACATTTAAAAATAAAAAAACAACTAACTACGCCCACTGCCATCTAGTCCTCTCTAACTGTCTCTTTCTTTTGGTTAGCAGCCCAATGCTTAACCTGCTGTACTCTCAGGGCTCCTTTCCTTTCATGATGTTGTTGTTGGGTGCTGTCAAGTGGGTTCTGATCCACAGCGACCCTATGCACAACAGAACGGAACACTGCCTGTCCTGCAGCATCTTCACAATTGTTACAGTTGAGCCCACTGCTGCTGCCACTCTGTCAATCTATCTCGTTGGGGCTCTTCCTCTTTGGTGCTGACTTTCCACTTTACTAAATATGATGTTCTTCTCCAGGGACTAGTCCCTCCTAATAATGTAAGTATGAGAAATGAAGTCTCGCCATCCTGACTTCTAAAGAGCATTCTAGCTGTACTTCTTCCAACACAGATTTTCCTGTTCCTCTGGCAGTCTGTGACATTTTTAATAACATTATCTTCATAATAGCTATCTCCAAACACAACTTACTTTTCTTCCCTGTTATCCAGAAAGTATAACATTTCTGTGAAACTTTTAATAAGCCAAAATGGTGTAAAGCGAAGAAGCAACTGCCACAAATTTTTATGGAAAAAATTTTTCAGCATTCCAAGACCCCACAAAATAACCCACCAAATCATATGATATAGTACATAAAACCTAAAATAACAGTAACATATAGTGTTCATAAACAGTTCCAAACTATGGCAGTTTGATGTCATTCCAGGGAAAGAGCCTGGCGATGCCACTCTCACTACCCCAGGTGCACGCTGCCACTAACAGCTCACTACAAAACAAATGCTGAACTCTAGTTTGGTTTTTCACAAAAACAAAAATCCTCTTCAGATTTCTTTCAACTAACAAACAAAAGAACTAATACAGGTCTTTTACAAAGCAAAGTGATGGAAAGCGAACTTTCAAAAAGCAGGAGATATCTGTACTCTGTCCTCCTTTTCCCTTGTAAGTTTAAAAACCAATTGTTTTATTAAAGTAATGCCAGTATTTTAGTTTGAAACAAACAAAAAAATAAGAGTCTACTTCTCTATACAGACCTCCAAATTGTTTTATATATTTCAGATTTTTCATCTGAACTGTATAAACACCCAATTTCAACTGTCTGTTGAATCTCTGCTCAAATATCTACTAGCAACTCACACCCAACTTAACCCAAATTTAATTCATCACCCTCCTTCTACGGCAGTTCCTCTAGACTTTTTAAACCTACAAATGATATTTTCATTGGAGGCATAAAACCTCCAAATCACCATCCACTGTCAAGACTTGTAGACTTTTTTAATCTTTGTCTCCTTTCCTAGAATCTTGCAACGACTACTACTGAGGCCCCACTACCACCTCCCAGGCTACAAGAACAATTTGCAAGATAACCATTCATCCTGTAAGCACACCTTTCAACGTGCCATTCCACACACCAGTGCCACAAAATTAGTCTAAGATAAAGATAAGAACATGACACCTTCTCTTTTTGAACACGATTCCTAACTACTAATCAAATTTGGTATAAACCCTCAACCTGTAACATAACTACTTTATTCAACAAATGTCTATTGAGCATCCGTTATACACCAGGCTCTGTTTCAGATACTGAAGACACAGAAGCTGTCATGGAGTTCACATTCTAGTTGGGAGAACAAAGAAGGAAAAACACCTGAAGCAAGTAACAGGGTAAAATCTCAGATGGCAGTAAGTGTTGTAAAGAAATTACAGAGAGGAACAGGATACTGACTAAAGTGGACTTCTGAAAGGATGGTCAGAGAAGGATTCTTTCATATCTGAACCAAGACTTGGACCGAGGAGCTTCACAATAGAGTGAGCTGAGGTCCAAAGGATGCACTCCACTCCCAGCTTTGCTTTGTTGGTAGGAGTAGGCCCTCTGAGCTCTGCTCACTTCTCTCTCCCCTTTTACATCTCGAAAGAGATTAACTCAAGTATATCCTAAACCTGTGGATTGCATCTGGCCTCGTTAACATTATAGAAGTGAGGCTCTATAACACACAGGATAATTACATCAGATCACATCAAGGGGAGGATAGGGATTTCATTATATTAGGTCTCATCAAGGAGGTGATAACCACATCTTGAGGGCTTAACCACTGAGAATCCTAGCCAAGTCTAGTTGGCACAAAACCATAACTATCACACTATGTTGTTTTTTTCTTTAAGCAAACATTCTTGAACTCATTCAAAGGAATGTTAACCTTCAATGTAATCCATTCTTAATCAGTTTAACATACATTACATTGAGCACCTAGGGTAACCAAAGGGTCAACAGTTAGACTCCACCAGCTGCTCTGTGGGAGAAAGGCTTTATATTCCCATAAAGATTCACAGCCTAGGAAACCCTACATAGGGTTGCTATGAGTCAGCGCCAACACAATGGCAGTGGGACTATGTATGAGGCACTAGCCAGGCTACAGGACACAAAGATAAAACTGGGACCTTCACTTCAATCATGTTCACAGTGCTTCTCACATTCTTTTGGTATTGCGTTTTGGGTCAGTGAATCACACATTACAGCTAGTCCCATTTCTTTATTAGCAGCAATTTCCTTTAAACAAAAAGAGTTTTTCAACTGATCCAAATCTTTTTTAAAAATCAGATTTGGCTCCAAATGATTGACTCTTCAAAAAAGCTATGTAAAAAGTATGCCTTCTTCACAATCACTGCCACCTGCCACCACTAAGGACCTTTAAAACAAAACCAAAAATATGTTCCCACAGGCTCTGAAACCATTACAGAAGAGTTCCCAATGAATGTTATAGGCTGTAACAAATGAATGGGTTAGTCCACTAAAATGATTATTTTGAAAGGGACAACATCTGCTTAAACAGTAGTCTGCTAACAATCACATAATTTTATATACAATCCTCTGGTTGTGAGAACTCTTCCATAAGAAGCAGAATCCACTGTAATACAACTTCTAACGAGTACTTCATTCTTGCTAACAGAAGTATGTAACACTGTGCTAAGTCCAAAGAAGGTACCTATCATACACCTTTGATTAATTAACATATCTAAAATGTAATAAGGAGTCCTAGTGTGGTGTTATAGAGTAAGCACCGGATTGCAAGGTCAGTAAGAACTGCAAAATTGATGGTTCAAGCTCACCAGCAGCTCCTCAGAAACCCTACACAGGATTGCCATGATTCAAAATCAACTCAATGGCGCATAACAACAACAACAATAACAACAACAAAATGTAATACAGCTATTTCTCCTTCACGGTTATTTATCATAGATCTCATCAGAGTGTGGAAACTCCGACCCTCAATAGGACTGAAAGGACTTCTGAGTTCTCCCTCACCTTCCCTCCTCACCACACTGACCTGGAGCTGTATTTCCTGAGGATGGTGTTCAAAAGGCCAACAAGCTCTTCAGTACTGATGAACTTCTGTGTGCTGAGGGTGTACATCTTCTCATAGAAGTCTGCAATCTCCATCCGAGCCTGAACAAAGAAGCAGAGCTGTTCTGACAGGTGGGAAAGGAGTTCTTCTACATGAGGGGCAGTCCCGCCCAGGGCACTGCGGCCAGTCACCACCTTCTTCAGTTCATTATGCAGGGAGGTATAGATGGTACGGATGGAATCCTTCCTGCTGAAGAAAGACTGGCCTCCTGGTAGGCAAATGACATAAGCACATGACAGGTAAGGACGAGAAAGAAGCACAAAACATCTCCCAAATCTAAAACTTCTCTTCTGAGCTCAGTGACCATTCACCTACAGTATTCTCTGAATCCTCTGCTTTGGATTTAAATATCTGTGATTAATGATTTCACTAAGGAACAAGCTGAATGAGTGCCTAAAACAATTCGTTGGTGTACTGAAAGACCTGTGTCTGACTTTATTCCCCACATGCCAATTTCCCCAAATCCATTTCAGTGAAGAGTCAAACTTAGACCTGAGAATAATTAACCTAGCAAATGACATTAACCTTGATCTTAATAGTCTTCCTTCAACATTTAGGTATTTAATACAAAACAGAGCACCAAATTATTAGCAATTGTTGCGATTCCTAATAAACAATTTACTTTTCTGTTTTAGAGTTTCTATTTTACTTTGAATCTTTTCAGATATGAAAAATCTAATATGAGTTTTCATATCAGAAAAGAGAATACACATACACATATCCTCCCTATACAAGCACATCTTTTTCCCGCGGAACCGCTAGTAGTTTCGAACTGCTGACCGTTACGGTTCACAGCCCGATTTGTAACCACTACGCTACCAGAGCTCCTTCTAAAGATGAGGTGTTCTACTCCTGTAAAGATTAACAGCCTCAGAAACCCTGTGCAGGGTCGCTATGAGTCGGAACCGACTCCACGGCACATAACAACAACATACAAGAACATAGACTGCAGGGATGCTGGGGGAGGGGAGAGGAGGACATGGGGAATATTAGCATTATTAATAAAATTCAAACACTAGATTACCTATAACATAATAAACACTACACTGTGAATTTTTAAGAGCAGAAACCAATTATATATAGCTGTTGTAACTGACGGTTTCCAAAGAAAATTAACAAAAAATAAAACATCATTTCCTTAATTTGGTATCAACATGAGCAAGTTTATTTCTAATAATTACTGAGTCAGTTTTATAGACATTTTCTAATCAATGCTGCACTCCTCCAAAGGGTCAGAGACAAAATGAAAAGAAACAGGGCAGGTTAAAAACAGTAAATTCCTAGAATACATAAAAATCTCAGAGACAGGACTTCTGGCAATGTGGTGGATTAGGCAGCCAACACCAGCCAAGCCCACTCTAAACTGTGATGCATGAATGGTGAACCGAAAATGTTTCCATTCTCTTAACTACACCCACAGGAGGCAGTTGGTGAGAGCCTGCAAACACATCAACAGGCAATAATCGATTAAATACAAATATGACACCACAATGTCCCCGAGACAACAGATAATTTTAGCTCACGTGAAGAAACGAGAGAATGGCTCAAACAAATGACCAAGGCACACAGAGAGAAAATGTTTCTGAGAAGCAAAAGATAATGGAACTACCTGAAAAAAAATTCATTAAGAAAGATATTTAGATACCTTTAAAGAACTGACAGAAAGATCGAGGAAGGCAAGGAGAACACAGAAGAAACTGTAGATGAAGTCAGAAAAACACTACAAGAATAGACAGACAAACAGAAATTTAGAAACAATACAAAACCTGTGATTAGAAATTTAGAACATTTCAAAATGGACAATACATTCAAAGGGCAAAGTTGCAGATTTGAAGCAATGGAAGCCCAAATTACTGAGCTTGAAGAGAAATCTCTCAATACTAGTATGCTAGAAGAACCACCAGAAAAAAGAAAGAAAAAAATTCAAAAAAAACCTAAGAGTTATGGGACACCATGAAGAAGAATAGCTTACAGGTGACTGGAATTCCAGAACAACAGACAATAAAAAGCAGAGAAAAATATTGCTGATGAGTCAGTCGTAGGAAGAAAATTTCCCTAACATTATGAAAAACGAGAAGATAAGCAATCACCAAGACATACCAAAATCAACTTTACAAAACAAGAGAGAGAGGCTCGGGGAAAACAAAAAGTTACCTATGAAGGAGAACTGATTTAGACTAAACTCTAATTTCTCAGCAGAAACCATGCAGGTAAGAAGGCAATGAGAAGACTAATACAAAACTTTGAAACAGAAAATTTGGCAACCAAGAATCATATATCCAGCAAAGCTGTCCTTCGAATACATGGAGAAGTTAGGATACTTCCAGAAAACCAGAAATTAAAGAAATATGTAATAACCAGGCCAGCTTTACAAAAAAAAGTACAAACGGGTGTTATTTAAATTGAGAACCAATAACAGCAGACAACCTGAGATGACCATACATGACACCACCACACAGAACTCACTCCAGATATAAAAGTATTTAAAAACAAACCTGTAAGACTGAAAATAGGGAACCAGAGATATCAATTTATAACAAAGTCAACTACAAAGCAAAAACAAGGAATAGTGTAGATACAGAACTTCCGAAAGGCAAGGGAATCACAAATATTTCAAGATAAAACAGACTGTTTTAAACAGGTAAAAAAAATTACAGGGTAACCTCCAAGAAAATTATCACACCTTCACATCAAAATAGGAGGAAAATCATAAAGATTTCATAAACATTAACACACAGGAGTCTCAGTGTGGCGATGTAGGATAAGCACTGGACTGCAAGGTCAGTTCGAACCTCAATGTCAGCAGTTCAAACTTACTAGCCACTCCTCGGAAACCCTATACAGGGTCTCTATGAGTCAGAACCAACTCAACAGCAATTAACAACAACAGAGCAGAAATGAAAATGAAAAGAAAACTGGGTAACAATATAAACTTAGCACTGAAAATTATATGAAACAAAGAAACCAACAGTTCCACACACACAAAAAATTACACAGCAAAATGACAACAACCAATTCATACCTATCGAAAGTTACACTGAATATAAATGGATTAAATATACCAGTCAAGAGACAAAGAGTAGCAGAATGGATAAGAAAACAGGATCCTTCAATATGCTATCTACAAGAGACACATAAAAAAAAAAAAAAAAAGGAAAACAACCTAAATGCCCACCAAGAGAAGAATTGTTGAACAGATGCTGGTACATACACACAGTGGAATACTATGCATGGTTTAAGAATAATGATGAACCTGCAAAATACAACATGGATGAACCTGGAGGACATTATGCTGAGAGAAATGACAAAATTACAAATATTGCATGAGACCACTGCTGTACAAAGTTAAAAAATGGTGTTCTTGATAAAAGAAACAATCTATGATGGTAACCGGGGGTGAGGGGCAAGAAAAATGATTCAGGGGCTAGAGGGTAGACACATGTTAACATAGGTGATAGGAGCTGGCAATATATAAGAGGGAAGTTGGCAAAGACAGATGAAGGTAACAGGAGACACAGAGAGGAATGCAAGAGTTAAAGTAAATAGAGGATCGCAAGTAAATAGAGGATCGCAATCATTATAATGAATCAAATTACATGATTTGTTCAATGTAAAACTGATAATCTGCTCTGTAAATCCACAGTCAATTCACAATAAAAGTTGTTGTTTTTTTTTAAATCTCACACACATAGGTTACAGTTTAACTTTTCTATTGATATATCTATCCATAATGTTTCAATGAATGAACTTAATATTAATCTAAATGCATAAATTTGTTGTTGTGTGCTATCAACTTGGTTCCAAATCACAGTGGCACTAGATAGGGTTTCCTATAGCAAGTGATAGGTTTGAACTGCCAACCTTACAGTTTGCAGTCCAGTGCTTATTATACAGTGCCAAACCAGATATCAAACATGGTAATTTGAAGTGAATATTATTTATCAAGGCATTTATAAAATATCCTCTTAACATATGAACCATTTCACAATATTGTATCTAGCTATGGCACTGTGGGTTAATGAGCCAGACTGCAAAGCTGTTTGAACTGCAAGGTCAGTGGTTCAAGCTCACCAGCTGCTCCTTGGAAACCCTATACAGGGTCGCTATGGGTTGGAACTGACTCGATGGCACTTAATAACGTTTCAAGAAACAAATCTTAAATGGGTGACCAACTCATACCATTTGTCTAGGACTCTAGGCACGAGGTGATGTGTCAGTAGGTGGTGTGACACACAATGCTTATTGATGCAGAGAAAGGTGAGAAGTTTTTTCTTGTACCCCACCCTAATGAGAAGAGGCATGGCTGGCCTCCACCTTCATACACTCCCAGGGAAGCTCCTGCCCTCTGGGTGGTCAGAGCTGCATTAAAGGGAGTGGGGAACTAGCAGCAGCAACCCCCACACCTGGAATCAAGTGTGGCTTGCTTCAGACGTGCAGAGCTGATTCTGGTCAGCCCTGGACTAGCAGGACATCTCAGCCTCGGCTGCCCTCTGGGATAGAAATAACCCCAAATGCTTTGGGGTCCACATAAACTACTACTTCCAGATTAGGTGCCAGAAAGGACAAAACCTAGCCCTATAATAATTCCATCTAGGGCTGAGAAGTTACCTTCTCATACCTTGCCAACCTACAACCTGACGTCCTTGGCTGACAGGAGACCTCAGAATTCTCTCTTCTCTGGACCTGCCCTGGATTTTTCCTTTCATTATTTTTCCATGTTGATTCTTTCATAATCGGCCTCCTCTGTTCTGCTTTATAGCCTTTCTATCTCCACTTTCATCTTTTCTTTTCTTTTTTTCTACTTCTCTTTCCCAACCACTACAGCTTCTTTGTGGTGTGACACTGTGGGTTAATGCGCTTGACTACAAAGTCGTTTGAACTGCAAGGTTGGCAGTTCAAGCTCACCAGCTGCTCTTAGAAACCCTACATAGGGTCATTATGGGTCGAAATTGACTTGACGGGACTTAACAACAGCTTCTTTATTTCTTCCTTTCTGTTTCTTTGTTTTTGTTTACTACTTTCTGGTCTCTTTCCCTTTTACACATTCCTCTACCTAATTGTGTTTAGGTCTTTTTCTTTTTATCTTCTTTTTTTTTTTTTTCCTCTACCTCTTTTCTTTCCTTGGATTCTGTGTTCTTTTTCTAGCTATTGCCTGCCTTTGTTTGTTTATTTTCCTTTTCTCGCAAGTGTGTTTTCTCTTCTTGCTCACCTAATAGAAGACAGCAATCATGTTCATACACCCTTGAGAAAACTGCACCCTCTACAACTCCACCCAGTGGAAAAGAGATGATACCAGCTGCTATTATACCGAATCAATGACAACAGTCAACATCAGATAAACCCATCCTTAACTGAGCTGCTCAAACAGCAAAGAGAGAGCAGTACAGTTGGTGGCTGCCTAATAATACAACCACATGTAATAATCAACTTAATTCAAACACAACAACACAATGTCTAAAAGCAACAGCTCACAAGAAATAAGAACCAGTACATTCACAATGATGTTCAATGCAGCACAAGTCACAATAACAAAATGATGTTAAGTGACACTGAATTGGTTCCGACCCATAACCACCCTGTAGGGTTTCTGAGGAGCAACTAGTGAGCTTGAACCACCGACCTTGTGGTTCAAACCAACTTTGCAGTCCAAAAATTAACCCACAAGGAGCTCTGGTAGCGCAGTGGTTACTAATCAAGCTATGAACCTTAAGGTCAGCAGTTCGAAACTACCAGCTATTCTGCGGGAGAAAGATGAGGCTTTCTGCTCCCATAAAGATTTTCAGCCTCAGAAACCCTGTACAGGGTCGCTATGGGTCAGAACCAACTCCATGACACATAACAACAACAACATTAACCCACAGTGCCACACCAGGACTCCATAACAAAATGATGGAGACAGCCTAAATGCCCATATGTACAAACTTCAGTACATATACACAACAGAATACTATGAAACAATGAACAACAATGAATCTGCAAAACACCTTACAACATGAACGAATCTGGAGCTTCTGAAACTATATGGTAAACTGGGAATTTCAAGTAATGGAAAAACAATAACTATGTTTTTTTTTATTGTGAATTATATGATAGTTTACACGAGAGAACTTTAGTTTTACATTCATTCCATTGTATATCGTTTCATTGCCATGGTTCCAAACCCCTACATGCATCATCAACCGACCAAAGGGTATACCCTACAAACCCACCCCTACACTCCCTCCCCCAGTCTTCAGCACACAGTCCCTCTCTCTCTCTGGATCCAAAGTCCCCAGCCGCTTCATCACTCCACGTCATCATCTCTGCTTCCATCTCAGGCATCCCTGCTTCTCTGGGTAGGGTCCCGCTCTTGACTCTTCTCCATTGATGGTCCTAGAGACCTCTGCTCCTAGACTGGAGAATTAATCACTCCCTTCCTTGCTACAAAACGTCTACCTTTACAATTCCAACCCTCACAATCAGTTCTGATAACAATTATTCACTATAGTATCACGAGTTACCCATCTGCATTTCATTTCATCAGCTCTGCCTAGACAGATTGGATAGTACTCACTGGAGATTCTGCCTTCCTGCATGCCCCCTAGCTCTAGGTTCCCTCATGAAAGCTTGTAAGCCAGTCACTTCTTGCCTTTGTAGTCCCCCCCACCCATTTGGGTATCCAATGTCCAAGTTGCCCATCTCTGTCTACTCTGTGTGTGGAGGGGATAGGAATGTTTCTTGCTGTAAGGATTTGTTCCCTCTTTTGAGTCACTGTATCTGTAGGTGTAGGTCAAGTTCATCAAATTGTATCAGATCACTCTTTTTTTCCTCTTCTTTCTTCTCCTGGTTGAGCTCTGATCATCCAGTCATCCGGGCCAGGTCACGTGGGTACCATCTGCAAGTGTGGGCGTTCTTGTGCACATGCCCTCTCTTCTCATCAGCCGGTAGCTCCACTCTCCACTCGAGTCCTCCGTGGCCACGCCACTGACTCTGGGCCCAAGAGTCCCCAGGTCTCCTCACACTGCTGGCCAACCAGGTCCCCAACTGGGTCCACAGAAGCCCACTGAACATTGTAAGGCTTAGCTTGCCGCTTCATTGCTGCTTTTGCCCCACTTCCCCCTATCGGTGATGCAAATAACTATGTATTTTTAACAAACAGGTATGGTGCTGTGGGTTAACGTGCCAGACTGCAAAGTCGTTTGAACCAGAAGGCCAGCGGTTCAAGCTCACCAGTCGATCCTTGGAAACCCTACACAGGGTCGCTATGGGTCGGAAACAACTCGATGGCACTAACAACAACAATGACAAAGTGACCTCAGCTGTTAAACAGGTGGCTTTGGTGAAAAGTATAACTCTTGCTTGAAAAAATAATACCTTCTTTTATTTGTTCATCCTTATCTGGGGGAGAAAAAACACCACAGAGATACAAAGAATGTTTTTCAAAGCTTATCAATAAACACCAATCACAGTGTGTGAAACCAAGTATAATAGAGAGACCACCAACTCGTTCCTTTTAAACAAGTCTCTTTTCTTCAATCTTCAGAAACTCAATCCTATCTATTGACTATCCTAACAATGTCCAAAGGAGATCACCTTCATGCATGCTGGGAAACAAGGAATCTGAGATACCTCAGTTCTTTCACTTTTCAATTTTTTTAACTTATAAACTATAATTATTACTTATTACTTCTGTTAGTTTTCATTTATGAAGAATTATTATTTCTTGACTTCAGTAGTTTATATCACTCACATCACAAAATATGAACAACATACATGAAAGAAGCAAAAAGAATAATCAAGCATTTTACTCAACAACGTTCTGCTAATGATAATTTTGTAAACATGAGCTTTTGGTTCTACTAATGCTAAATTATCAACAACTAGAGGTTAAGGAAACTCTCCAAAGATGAGACAAAGGAAAACAAAAATCTAAATTCTTCACAACGTATTTTAGTCACTGATCCTTCCCCCAACAGGTATTATTTTCTGTTTAAAGGGAAGGGAAGGCTCCCAGATAAAGGATCTGCCCCAAGTTTTTCAGTAACTGAGCCAAGACAGGAACAGAAGGCCCCTGTCAGTCTGTCCTTTCTGAAAGGCCGAAACTTGCATTTGTAATCAGGACTCCTTGTTAATACCTCTAATAAACATCAGCCGTAAGAGTGAGACACACTTTTAAGAACCATGTTTTAAACTTTTTTTAAAGTAAGCATAGCTTTTTAATTTGCATTTTAAAGCAAACATGTAAACCTTCTAATTAAAAGTAGTTGAGGAACATGGGAATGCTTTCATTGTCAACACAAAAACATTTTCTTAAATTTTCCAAAAAATCTTCAATCAATGTTCGTGAAGTCACACTGTAAGAACAGTGAAAAACACACTATCCAGTCCAAAACAGTTATCAGTTATTTACCAAGCTAAAATTTAATTGTGAAACTTACAATGAGTCCACATGTAAATAAGATATGAGGCATTAAGGCTGTATGTGCCTTTTCCATAACGTTTACTCTGAAGTGGTAAGATCACCTGGAAGGCAGAACAATGCCTGGGCACGTTTCACAGTGTAAAGTACTCTCTAGGTCAAGCACTAGAAGGCTACCAGGGGGGTAGTCTTCAGACTCACTCAAGTAGCACTGAGACCTTTACACAGTAAGGGTTACTTCACAGAAACCAAGAGTCTTATACACGGGGTTCTTACAGACAGGGCAGGTAGTTGTGTTTTACTAAAAACCTGTGTTAGGTTGTGTGAATTGTCAAGTAGACTCAATTCCAACTCATAACAACTAAAGGATGGAGTAGAACTGCCCCACAGGGTTTTGGTTTTTTATTTACTTATTTTTAAATTGTGAATTGAACTTCTGGCGTGGCACTGTGGATCAACCTGGACTGCTAACCACAAGTTAGGAAGCATGACACTTGGGTCAAGCACCATTCTTTATTGAAGTAGAGAAACCTGAAAACTGAAACTGCAGAAAATTACTCACCTTCAATTATATAGTTAGAATAGTCTCCATTTCAAGTATTATTTATATAAATTACATGTTAGATGTAAATTATAACATGTATACATCTTTGATAAACCATGTGGATACACAAAATATGATAGTTCAAAGACTACCCAACAGCATATACCAAATTTGTCAAGCTGTAGAAAGGGGACTAATCCTCAAAAATTTTTTGCAAGCTTGTGAGAGGCTTAATTGTAAAAAAGACGAGGGAAAAATGCCAGTTTTCCCCTATTTATTATTTGAATAGCTACAGTAAAAACTAAAATCTCAGAAAGTCCTGCTCCTCTGAGAGTTTACTGACAGCTCAGTAAGATGTGCATAGTCACTTTCAGACAATAAGGAAACTAGAGGAAAAATCAAAATGGAATCTAGAGCCAATTCACATTTCTATTCTTTATACAATATACACATATCCTTAATCCCAGACCCTGTGCCTGACAAAGGGTATAAAACAGGTCAACGTACTAAAACAACTCTAAAAGCTCTGTGATTCAAACATTCCATTACCAACAACTATTATGATAAGTAGTGAAACTTCATGTGCATAGCCTTTGGCTTTTACATATATTATTTCCTATTTATCAAATCATACTGATTGCTGTTACTGGTTGCAAAAATCAATTGAATCAGTTCTTGCACCTTACTCATTTTCAGTATCAAAGATTATAATGGGGAGGTAAGAGTGTTTACTGTTTCCTCTGGCTAGCATCGGGCATATTTCTTGCCTTTTCAGCCCATTACTCATTAATAGCTTTATTCATGGAATATTTATTGGGAGAGAGGGTACGATCTACAATCTACAAGCAGACTAAACATTAGTGTCCGTCAACTCTGACTAGGTGGTACTGCCAAGTTTTGCTCCTCAAGCCTTCGAGTTACTGGATAGTAGAGAGAGCTCGGTTAACTTATTTTTGGTACCAATTCAGCCATGCATGGGGTAAAACGAATAAAGAGCATCCACCAGGTTGGCCAATCTATCAGCAGCGGAGGCCGGTGGGCGGGGTTTGTAGAAGCCGGGGAAAGGAAGGGAACGGTGGGAGGAGACTCTGGGCAGAGTCGAGCCCGCGAGCCAGTGACAACAGAAAAAAGGAACCCAAGCTACTGCCGAACGGGGACTGTACCCACTTTCCTTCCCTTTCAGGGGCACGGGGGCGGGGCAGAGGTACCTAGTTTCTGCCCCAGGTAGGTGAGGCTGTGATAGACCTTCTCGGCCGCGGCCAGGTGGGCCAAGGCCGCCAGCAGCGACAGCCAGCTGCCCCCCGCGCTCTTGTTGGCTTCTCGTTCCTTCTCCACATTGTCCTTGGCCTTGTCGTAAGAGAAGATACCCAGGTGAGAGAAGAACGTCTCCAGGACCGCTTGTTCCACCGGGACCGGAGCGGCCAGCGGGATAGACTCCCCCATGCGACCTGCGCTCCAGCTCCACCCACGTGGCTCGCCTCTCCCGCGCACTTCCGGGTTCTGAGGGAACCAGCGTGCGCGTGCGTGACCGCTTCAAAGGCGGGCTCGTGCACGCGCCGCCGACTGGACCGCGCCTGGGCCTTTGAAATGACTTGACTGAGGGGCAGTAAAGAAAGACATGGACTGCTCCAGAGCTTCAGTGGTTGGATTCCTGCAGTTCTGACTATTCAGATCCTCAATGTGGACTGGAAGGCGGCCAACTCCCTGCTCCATAGAGTTGGCTGCGTTCTGAAGTGAGCTGAGAGGCCCCCCTCCCTGTGAGGCTGTCTGTACTGATGATGTCATGCATATGTGACATCAATTGTGCCCTAACATCATTTCTGGGCTTGCCATGGTTGGGAGATGCGTTTCGTGCCTAGAACTAAGCTCATTCTCACAGCAGGGACCCTAGTCAGTTCTTACATTGTGTAGAAAAGGTCAGCTAAGTGGCTTATAGATAAAAAAGGCAAATAGCAAAGGTTGATGCCTTAACCCCCTGCCCAAGTTCATTTAGTTACACACCATGAGTTAACTCATCTGTATCTCATTCTATTCATCTCAAGTCTCTGTCACAAAAAATCACTTCCAAACAGAGCTTGCCAATCATACCCAATATACATTAAACATCCTAAGCCTTCTAAATGAAGGATAGGTAAACTAGTATGACTTCAGCTAAAGCATCTGAATTGATAGACCATTGTCATTCATATTAATTATAATCTTCTGGCATTTCAGAAACACCATCTGCCTAACACATGTCTACTACTTTAAAAAATTGCCCATTGATCATTAAGTTCTATTTTTCCTTTCTCTTTCATATAGCTTATTGTACACACTTATTTTACACCACTTATTCACACGGAGTCCTGGTATGGCGCTGTGGGTTAATGAGCCAGACTGCAAAGCCGTTTGAATTGCAAGGTTGGCAGTTCAAGCTCACCAGGCGCTCCTCGGAAACCCTATATAGGGTTGCTATGGGTCGGAACCGACTTGATGGCACTTAACAACAACAACAATAGGATAAGCACTGGAGTGGTAACTGTAAGGTCAGCAGTTGGAACCCACCAGAACCTCATACATGGCCATTATGACTAGAGGGCACATAACAACAACAACCATACTACGTAATCACATATATGGTGCAATGAGTTAAGCATTGGGCTACTAACCTTATGGTTGGCAGTTCAAACCCACCAGCCACTCCATCAAAGAAAGATGTAAAGATTTACAATTTTGGAAGCCTTTTGGAGCCGTTCAACTCTGTTCTATAGGGTCGGTATGAGTTGGCATCAACTTGTAGATTTAGTTTTTGGTTGTCATACTAAGTGAGTTCCATAGAGCAGAGTCGATGGCTTAGTCACCTTTATAATCTTGTATCCTTTGACTATGATGTTAAACCAGTGAAAGAATTTCCAATTTAAATTTGTTTCTCAAACTAGAGCGGTTCTACCATCACTGCTTTTTTAGTGTAAGGTCTACTGTTATATGGCGCTGTGGGTTAATGTGCTGGACTACAAAATCTGTTTGAACCACAAGGTCGGTGGTTCAAGCTCACCAGCTGCTTCTTGGAAACCCTATACAGGGTCACTGTGGGTCAGAACCGACTCAACAGCACTTAACAACAACAATATAACATAAAATGTTTCCTGACCTCAAGAATATAATTGAGTTTGATTAACCCTACTAACTGCAACATAAGGTAGAATTTTATATGTAATAAAGTTGACAAGGAGCAGTTACGTCTTTTTAGAAAAAATTAGACTTCCTGGAGGAGAATAATAGTTCTTGATGCATGGAGAGTGATGTTTGATTGTGTGCATTGAGTCGTTACTGACCCATAGGGACCATGTATATGGTTTCCAAGGCTGTAAATCTTTACAAGAGCAGAAAGCCTCCTCTTTCTCTCACAGAGTGGCTGTGGGATTCAAACTGCTAACCTTACTGTTAGTAGCCCAACTCATCACACATCACACCAGCAGAGCTCCTTGATGGATAAATGTTGTTGTTGTTGTTGTTGTTAGGTGCCATTGAGTTGGTACCAACTCATAGTGACCCTATGCACAGCAAAATGAAAGACTGCCCGACCCTGGGCCAACCTCACTATTGTTGCCATACTTGAGTCCATCGATGCTGCCACCTGGCCAATCTATCTCATTGGGGCGGGGGGGTCTTCCTCTTTTTCTCTGACCGTCCACCTTACCATACATGATATCCTTCTCCAGTGACAGGTCCCTCCTGACAGTATGTCTGAAGTATGAGAGACAAAGTTTGGCCATCCTGACCTCCAAGGAGCACTCTGATTGCACTTCTTCCAACACAGATCTGTTTGTTCTTTTGGCAGCTCATGGCACTTTCAATATATTAATTCAAACAGTATAATACTTGGCACCAAAGTCAGCTGTCTATCAACTAAAAAGATTATAAAGTTCATAAACATATCCGAGTAATATAAGATTTCCCTAGGTAATAAAAGTGTTATTAATAACTGGAAAAAAGACAATACATTCAATAAATGGTGAACCAGACACATTAATTATATAAGTAAAAAGAAAAACAAAACAAAACCTCACCTTGTATTTTACAATAAAAACAACTACATATAAAAAAAGAAACCATGAACAAAGGATAAGAAAATACAAATGAATATTTAATTGACCCACGATATATAATCACCATCACCACCACCACCATGTGTGTGAAAGTTGGACAATGAATAAGAAAGACTGTAGAAGAATTGATGCATCTGAGTTATCATGTTTAAGAAGAATACTAAAAGCACCATGGACTACCAGAAGAACAAACAGATATGTATTAGAAGAAGTACATCTAGAATGCCCCTTAGAAGCCAGGGTGGCGAGACTTCATCTCTCATGTTTCTGCCATCTTATCAGGAGGGACCAGTCCCTGGAGAAAGACACCATACTTGATGAAATAAAGCATCAATGAAAAAGAGGAAGACCTCCACTGATATAGATCGTCACAGTGGCGGCAGCAATAGACACAATTGTAGTAACAATTGTGAGGATTGTGCAGGACTAGGCAGTGTTTCATTCTGTTATGCATAAATTCTCTACAAGTTGGAACCAACATTATGGCACCTAACAACTACAACAGGGATAGAGAAGAACCCTTTAATCACAAAAGAATTGAAAGAACTTACAAAGAATAATTTTATTATATATAAATTTATATGTCAATGTCATCCTGAGAAAAATATTTGTAGCATGTATCAAAAAAAAGTTTAATATGCTTAACACTTTAAATTTTTTTACAACCCATTAAGAAAAAAAAAAAAAAAGGACATGAAAAGACAAATTCCAAAATAAGGTACAAAAGGGCTTGCAAAAGTCCGTGGAAAAAAATCATTCTCTTTTAATTCATTTTTCTACAAGCTATTTATTGAAGACCACCACCTTGTCTGTCAATTTCTCATGCTGTGGTGGCTTGAGTATTGCCGTGCTTCTGGAAACTATGTTACCAGTGTTTTAAATACCAGCAGGTGACCTATGGTGGACAAGTTTCAACAGAGCTTCTAGACTAACACACACTAGGTAGAAGGAGAGGCAGGCTATTTCTGAATGGGTAGACATTGAACACCTTGAGTAGTGTTTAGACATTGTCATACATAATGCTGGAAATATAAAAACATGAATAGCACCAGAGCATTGTCAGATAGAGTGCCAAAGATGAGTCCCTCAGGTTGGAAGGCACACAGAATATGACAGCTGCTTCCTCAAAGAAGAGCTGACCATAAAGATGTGAATGGAACAAAGCTCTATATAGCTTTATAGGACCTCTAAAGCTCTATAGGACCTTCGTTTGCTGATGGGGTACAATTCAAAATGAGGAGAAACAGTTGCAAATGTCCATTAATAATTGGAACATGGACTCTATGAAATATGAATCTAGGAAAATTGGAAGTTGTCAAACTTTAAATGGAAGACATAAAGTTAGACAAAAGTAGGCATTGTTGTTGTTGTTGTCAGGTGCCATCAAGTCAGAACCGACTCATAGCGACCCCATGCACAGCAGAACAAAACAATGTCCGATCCTGGGCCAACCTCACTACTGCCACCACACTTGACGCCATCAATGATGTCACCTGGCTGATCCATCTCGTTGGGGGTCTTCCTCTTCTTCTCTGACCCTCCATCTTACCCAGCATGACATCCTTCTCCAGAGACTGTTCTCTCCGGACAATGTGTCCAAAGTATGAGAGACAAAGCCTAGCCATCTTGGCCTCCAAGGAGCACTCTGGTTGCACTTCTTCCAAAACAGATTTATTGGTTCTTTTGGCAGTCCATGGCACTTTCAGTATTCTCCTCCAACACCACAACTCAAAGGCATCAATTCTTCTACGATCTTCCTTATTCACTGTCCAGCTTTCGCATCCATATGAGGTTATTGAAAATACCATGGCTTGGGTCAGTCGTACCTTAGTCCTCAAGCTGACATCTCTGCTCTTCAATACTTTAAAAAGTAGGCATTAGTGTGTTAAAATTGACATATTGGCCATTTTGAATCTGATAATCAAATGGTTTTCTATGCCAGGACCATCAAACTGAAGAGGAATACTGTCACATTCATTGTCAAAAAGAACATTTCAAAATCTATCCCCACTCACCCACCCAAAGGTGGGAAACAATATACTCATTTATTTTCAAGAAAACAAAACATTAAACATCATTGAAAACAAAGACTGTTACAGTAGTTTCAGGGCATGCCCCCACAGGCTGGCAGAAATCCACTAGCCCCAACATTACACTCTCCCAATCTTTACCCAATACCATAATGAAGACATAGGACAGATGACCAGAAACTGACATGTAAACATCTATTCCAGAATGATTTCTCATTCTACATGAGAAAGACCCAGTGTAAAACATGTCTTCTTCTCGGGTATTGTCATTTAAATAAGTTGAAAAGAAAAGACTTTTAAGATTCCTCTGTTAATTAACTCTGGATGCAGTCCCC